AGAAACTAAGACGCCTACATAAATTAAAATTTATTTCGGCTCCCAAAATTTTTTTGGCAGGAAAATTTTTCTTTCTGTCCCTCTTTATCTAGCATCTTCGTAAAAAATTTTTTCGGCTTCACTTCCCGGCATTAAAGCATCGTTCATAGAAAAAATTTTTTCTTCGTATGCTACCCACTACAATTAAGACTCTATTAATTTAAGTTGCGCGATAGCCATCGCGCTGGAATATAAAAGTGAGAGTTAGTTTTATGCGAAAATTTGGCTTGGGGTGTTGGTTAGTTAGTAGTTAACTAATTGGTTAAGTGCGGGTTATTTTTTAACTAAGATGTCGTTTTTGTTGAAAAAACCACTATAACGATAACGATGAAAATATTCTCGTTTGGTTTTGGGGACGGTGGCAAAGAAGTCTTCGCGTTCTTCTTCGTATCATTTGACTAAACAGAAGCGACAGAGATAGTGGTATTTGAGATTTTTAGTTTGGGTTTGGTCTTTGATATCGGCTCAATAGGCCACGCTGTTTAAAGGAGTTCATTGACCTTGGCCTGGGCTTCATTTGCGTTGGATGGCTTGGTGGCAGCGATCACAAATGATAGTGGAATTTGTTGACATAGTATTATTTAGATTTTTTTTTTTTTTTTGTTCTTTTTCATTCATTAATTATAATATTATTTTAGTTATAGTTATATAATAAATGTATTTTGGGGTTTTTGCTTGTTTCACTATATACTAATATTTTTCTCTTGTTGTAACTTCTCTATCTGTCGCTGACGAGACAAGCCTGATTTAGGACTTTTTAATAAAGTGTCTGTTTCACAATCGAAAATTTCTAATTCCCTATTTAGTTTTATTTTTTTAAAGAATTTTATTTTATACAGATGGTTGTCTTTCTCTATTTGGGGAGGCAACTCAGTAGTTTCTTTAACTAATATACAATCACTGCGAATAGTTAATATTTTGTCCGGTGAAAATTGCCGGTATAAGTAATAAGTTTTTAATAAAGCTAATTGACTAACTGCTAAATGCCAAGGCAAATAACTGTAATGGTTAAATTCATTTGGACCTAATACTCCCCACAAAGTATTCGCTAGCATTTTGCCTTCTTTTTCCGCTTCTTTTTTTTGCTTTAATTGGTCACAATAGTCTAAATATTTATTAGCACAACCTTTTTTTTCTTCAAAAATTCAGAAGTCAGTATAAACAATTTTGCCTTTAACTTTGTAATGCTTAATAAAAGAATGAAATAAGCGAGTGTGTAATAATAGTCTTTTTTTTCCTTTTATGGCTGATTTTATTTTGCCTCCTTCATAAGCATAATCACGAGTGGGGATAAAAGGGACTTGGTTATTTTTAATTAAAGCGTAATTTTCTAAGTAAAATTTAACAAAACCACTTTTGCCCTCTTGTAATTTTTGTTCGATTAGTTGAGGGTCTTTGAAGCACTCGGGCTGGCCACAGGGCAAAGGGTAGTCACGCATAATATTCGCATAGCAACTTTTAATGTCAATATAGCACACATTTTCAAAGGTCCCTTCTTGCAAGACTTCAAAACGAGGTGGATTTTTGTATCTACTTAATTCCTGAAATAATTTTTTGTCGGTGCTGGGGTGAATAGCCGTAAATTCAGGTACTAGTTTATGAAGTAATTTTAAGGCTCGCGTACCCCGGCTATCGGGATCATCTTCGCTGGCTCCTCGTCTTTCTTGAACAATTGCTTGGCCAATTTTTATTTTCCTGCTTTCATTATCAATAACAATTTCTTGGTCTCGCAAAACATAATGAGGGTGATTCACTTGTTGGCATTCGGCTTCTGAGAGCGGACAAGAAGGTGCTTGGAGGTTAATTAGCAAAGTAGGGAAAATATCAGTGTCACAATAGACATTAATTGGATACTTGCCTACTTCACTTAAAGGTACCGAATTAAGGGCTTGATTATTGGAAGTAATTAATTGCTTGTTTCAATCTAGTCAAAAGTGAGTTTTTTGTTTTACCATTCTTTTCTAATTTCTTAATTCGTCGGCTTCTTCTCATCCTTCCCCTTCGCTTTCGACCTGATCTAATTTTCGAGCAAAGTTTTTTAATGGTTCTTGATAAGTTGGAAATTTTTCGCCTAACTCAATTAATTGCAGTTGTAATTCTTCTTTATATTCTTCCCAACTAAAATCAGGGTCATTTATTTCTTCTTCTCATTGTTCTTGGCTGGTCATATCAGTTAATTTGGCTAAAACTTTTCCTCCTAAACTAACACAATTGCCATCGCAATATTGACAATGCTTTTTTATATTTTTGTTTTCTTCTTTTTTAATTAGTTCTAAAATGTTTTTTATTTCGTTATTTTCATTTATTAATTTGACTACTTTCATAATTTTTAATATTACTATATATACTATATTTTAATACATTTATTATAATTTTATTATACATATTTAATTTTAACGTTTGGATCTTTTCTTGTGGTCATAACGACCGACATGACAACTCCCTCAATCTTTACCAGCCACATTAGTTTTTTCTCCTTGTAAAGATCAATGTCATTGTTTATTGGCCTCACGGTGTTCAACAGTGCCACACATTGAGGTTTTAAAAGTGTATCGTCAGGGACAGTGAATCGGCAAAACCGGCGGATGGTAAGGATTACCTCACTGAACACAAAAAAAGCATCATGGCTCGCTGGTTCCTTGGCTGGCTCGACAGTCAAACCCCATGGATTCAATGACACATAAAAAACCTTTTTTTCGGCGGTTAAAAAATATATCTTTTTCTAACTCAGTGCCATACTCATTCATGTAACTTTCATGGGCTTTAAAGTGGATTTCTTTTTCAAATCATTTTTCTAAACTGGGAACATTTTTGTAAATACTCCAACTTCGTCCTGGCTTGCTTCTGATGAGTACCAATACCTGACCTTCTTTTAAGCGAGGATTACCATATTTATCTACTTCAATTTCACTATCAGGGACTAATTCACCGACAGGCCTAGGTTTTATTAACATCTCCCTGATGGCTCGCAAATAGTGTTTTCGGGAATAAGAAAAAGGATAATCAGTATTGTTTTTTCAATACTTATTCCAAATTTCTCCCATGCCAACTTCTTTGGCAGGATGTGAAGTAGGAATTAAAAATCTATCTCTTATCCTTCAAGGACTTTTTTGGTAGAGACGTTTATAAATGTCTAGTAATTGAGTTAGACTTTTAACCCGTTGGCCTTTAAATTCAGTTAAAATTTTTTCTCTTTCCGCAATAAATTCTTTACGACGACGGAATAATTCCTTATGTTCTCCTTTTTCTGGAAAAAAATATTTGAACTGTTCTGATTTTAAAAACTCTCTGGTATTAGGGTTCAAAGAACCAATTTTATCTTTATAGTAGCGAAGTTGGGATTCTTGATCAGCAATTTCTTCCCGATAAGCCTGGTTAGTTTTTTTTATTAAATACTGTTGCCCACCTTGGTTCAGACGATAGGCAGTGTGCTTACTACCAAACTCCTTTCATGGATCATAGTCAGGGTGTTTTCGTTGTAATTTTTTAATGTGAGTTGCTAAACGAGGTTCTAAATCTAAATAAGCCGTAAAATATTCTGGATGTTTAGACTTATCTAATTTATTTAGTTCCTGGCGAAAGTAGTCATAAATTTCCCCTAACCTCCTTTTTTTTTGGAGACGACTTTGTTCTTGGGCTTGTTGAACGCGAATTTGAGCTTCTTTTTTCGCTCTTTTAGCCTTTTGGTTAGCAATTAACTTTTGCCGTCCTAACTCCCAGGCCCGGGCTCAAGCATTTAACTTTTGCCGATAGAGGGTTTTATACTTGTGAACTAAGGGTTTATTTTTAGCACGACGGGCTTGTTGGATTAAGTGCTCTAGTTCGGAAAAAGAGTATTTTTTTCTTGACATTTTTTTATTTTCCTTTTTATTAGTTAGTTATCATTTAACCAAATATGATATAAACAAATTTTAAGGAGAAAGAAGTAATGCCAAGTTACTAAAACTTGTAAAATACATTAAGGAGTGTTTACTTGACATTTGCTCCTTTTCCTGACTGTCCCGAGTATGCAACTACTTGGGATAGTTTTTATTTATTTTTGTTAAACTACATTTATTATAAAAGTATATTAGATATTTTAGAAAAAAAATAAAGTAAGTAATTAAAATTAAAAACAAGCATACTTAATTATAAAATATTACATATAAGGTAAAAACATATGCTGTTAAAAACAATTGCCAGTTTTGGTGATAAGTGAACTGAGCGATTGTGGAATCGGGAATTTGTGAAAAAGTTTAGCATGATCGCTGATGAAGCATTAGAAAGTTTAGTTATGGTCAACAATGCTACATGTTTAGGCGATTTGAAATTTCCTGCGAGTAATAACCTTCACAAACTAAAAGGTGATCGCAAAGGTCAATGAGCCATCAGCGTTGGCAATACACAATATCGCGTCTGTTTTTACTGAGGAAAAGATAATAAAGCCTATGAAGTAGAAATAATTGATTATCATTAAATATTAAATAATAAAAAAACTGAATGCTTGTATGAATAATAATCAAAAATTATCACCAGTTCATCCTGGTCGTATCCTCCAAAATAAATTTCTAATTCCTCTGGGCATTAGTCAAAGTCAGTTAGCAAGGGATATTAATGTTTCAGTTAGGAAAATTAATGAGATTTGCCAAGGCAAAAGGAGTATTACAGTTGATACCGCGGCTCGTTTGGCTTTTTACTGACCAGTTAGTGCCCAATTTTGATTAGGTATTCAGCAACAGTATGATTGAGAAGTTTTCCAAGATCAGGAAGAAAGAAACTTAAAAAGAGTAATCCGACCTTATCAAGGAAAATCTCTTCCCTTATCGCATTAGTTTTTGGTCAATATTATGGAAAATGAGAAAAAAAATGATTAATAGTCAACTATGCTAAAATATTCATTATAAGAAAATAATCAAAATGAAAAAAAGAATTTTTTTTACCGCAAAAGAAGATCGCAAACTAGAAAAATTAGTGAAGGAAATGGGATATAAGTGGTCAGAAATAGCGAAAGTTTTGTCGCGGGATGCTAGAAGTGTTAGAAACCGTTGGGAAAATCACTTGAAACCCGGAATCATTAAAAGTCCACTAACTTGTTCAGAAGTAGCACTTTTAAACGAACTATATAAAAAATATGGACCTCGATGAACAGTGATAGCTAATTGCTTGCCAGGAAGAACCTCCCTACAAATAAGAAATTGGTTCTACGGAGCGAAAAGAAAAGGAAATAAAAAAATTAAGAAAAAAATGTCAATATCAAAGTTGTTGGATGATAAGGTAGAAGTTGAAGAAAAAAAAGGAGAATCATCGCACAGAATAGGTCTCAAAGAATCACCAAGAAAAAAAATAGAGGATGAAAAAGCAGAATTAAAAAAAATAATTTCTAATGCTAAAAGTAAATTAGGAGAAGATTTAGAATTTCTTTTAGAAATGTATTTAGAAACTCAAGAAGATATTGAAAAAATAGGAAGCGATTCCTTCATAGAAAAACACCTTCAAAAATTAGAAAACTCTCTCACTAGAAAAATAAGTAAGGAGGAATTACAAGAAATTTATCAAAAGCAGAAAGAAGTGAACCAAAAAGAAAATACGAGCGCACGCTCGCAGCAGGTCAAGACAGAAATAAAAAATGAAACAGAGACTCAAGCCATGATTGAAGCGTCTTTTTTAGAATCTTAACGCCATGCCAAAAAAATCCAAAATTAACTCGCAAGTTAATGAGTTGCGCGAGCAAATTAAATTAAGTAAGATCAAATTAAAGGCATTAAAAGAGAGGCAAAACATTTTTAAAAGAGCGATAAAGAAAGTTCAAAAAGGATTAAAAGAAAAGTTAGACGGACTAACTTATATTGTTGACACTAAACAGGCTAAAAAAGAAGAACAAATAAGCGAAGATTTAAGGGATCATATAGAGACTATGCTTAGTATGCTAGAAGATAATATTGTTGACGAAGAGAAAGGCGGGACCTCTCTTCATTTACCGGGGGCAAAAAAAAGAGTAGAAAAAACTAAAAATAACTTGACAAAAAAAATAGGTATTGAAAAATTAAACGAAATTTGTCAAATAAAAGAAGAAGTTGTCAAACTAGAAATTGATAAAAAAAAAATAGAAAAAGAAATTAATCAAGAGGATAAAATATTTAAAATGATTAAAGATTCTAGTTTGGGACTCGATTCTGAACAAGAAGACAAGGAAGCTCTCCAGGAGGAATCAGCTTCAAAAAAGAGAAAAAAAGGCTACACTTTTGATAACCATTCGCGAGCAAAATTAATAAGAGCCGAGAGTCAGAAGCAAAAAGACAAAGTCACGAAAGTTGGACAAAAGGAAATTAGTCATTTTAGTCAGCGAAAATTCGAGTTAGGAAGGAAGATGACTCAAAGTAGAAAAATGAGAATAGACCTCCCAACCTCCCGCCCAATAAGGACTGATAATATGACACAATCTGCAGAGAGACCTAATTTAGAACATATAATAGGAAAAGGCGGATATGGAAAGGTATACTATGGTAAATGGAAACTACAAGATGTGGCCGTTAAGGAACTATACATGTCGTCCAAGAACATCTTGCAAGATGATATTAAAGAAATCCTAAATGAAATTAACATTCTTAAAGATCTGAGAAATCGGTACATTATTCAATATTATGGCACTTATTTTGATGACCAAGAACTTCTGATTATTATGGATTATGCCGAAAATGGTAGTTTAACCAAACATATTAATGACAATAAGGACAAAGAGCATGATTGAAACTTCAATAGTGAACTTATTAAGCAAATAACATTAGGATTGGCTTATATTCATTACCAAAATATCATCCACAGAGATTTAAAAAGTATGAATATTTTGCTTAATAAACATTTTCAAGTAAAAATATCAGACTTTGGGCTATCTAAAACTAAAAATATTAGCTCTTCCCAATCAAGTCATGGCATAGTAGGTACTTTGAGATGAATGGCTCCCGAATTACTAAGAGAAACTAACCATCCTCAATATTCAGAACAGTCTGATATTTATGCTTTGGGTATGGTTATTTGAGAACTAACTGCGCAGTGTACGCAACCTTTTAAAGATATTGATTATAATTTAGTAGCATTTCACATTGTTGATGGCAAAAAGGAAGAAATACCAAGTAATGCTCCCAAAAATATTCAAAATATTATCCAACAATGCTGAAAAGATAATCCTGATGAAAGGATAGTCTTGGAGAAAATACTGAAAAAAATTGGAAGTGATAAGCCAAGTTTTCAAATTACTAGTAATGATGAAAAATTATTGGAACCGCAAAATAACAAGGAAATAAAAGAAAAGCATGAAGACACTACCGACATGAGTTTAGATATCAATGACTTAAATCTTAACCAAGCCCAAATTCTTTTTGAAAAGTAGTCATGCTTAAAATTCTGATATAGTTCAACTCAGGATGGAACTACTTTTGATAACAAAAAAAATATTTCCTAATATGAGCAAAATAATATCAATCATTTGTCAAGGCTGTTCGATAGTTAAACAAGTTCCCACCCAAAATGATAATCATCCTGATCTTATCAAGGGTGAGTGATTATGCCCCAAGTGCGAAAAAAAACTTGAACAGTTAAAAAGCCAAAAACTGGCCGAAGCCCAGGCAGAACAGGAAAAAATTAGTAATCCTGGCAATTGTCTTTCTTGCCAAAATAAAATCAAAAGGGGACAATATTGTTCTTCGTGTTTAAAAAAAACAATTAGCGAAAGTATTGAAAAAGCATGAAAAAAAAGTCAAGAATTAAACAATATACTTGAAAATAGTATCAATAACTCGGAAGAAAGCAATAACCAACTAAAAGAAGCACTCCTAGATTATTTGGCAAAATTAGAACAAAATAACAAGAAGAGGAAGTTGGAAGATATTGAAACTGAACTGAAAGAAAATGAGGAAGAAATAGCAAGAATCAAGAAACAAATAGAAGAAAATAAAAAAAAGAAAAATAATAAGAATGATAACAATAATGATTCCCCTTTTAAAAACAATCCTCCCTTGCCAACTGATCTTCCTAATTACTCTTTTCTTAATAATTCCCCACCTACTTCCAGCCAAAATAATCAAAGTAATCTCAAATGTTACAATTGTAAAAAGAACTTCAACTATGGTGATAATACTCATTATTTTCCTCAAAATCCTGATAAAAAATGATGCGACGCTTGTGACCTTGAAATAAAAATTTGTCTAGATACCACCCAGAAAATTTTCAAAAACCAGGAAGTAAATGTAGACAATTTAAATATCTCTACTGAAAATAAGGAACAATTAAAAGCCTTAGTTAAAATTAAAAAAGGCGAACAAGTTGATATTGATAATCTTGGTATTGACCAAGAATCTAAAGAGGAATTGAAAAAAATTCAAAAACAACTTTCACCTAATTTACCAAACAATAAACCTCAACAAAGAAGTCAAAACACTTCTGATTATGTAGTAAATTGCCTTAACTGTAATGCAGAGTACGAGACTAACAAAAACAAAGAACCTCATTCTAATTGTTGATATTGCAAAAGCAAGAATATTCAAGTGTGGAAAAACGGAGTTTTACAAGAAAGTGGTTTTAACAGTGAACAGAATAATAATTCCTATCTCCCTTGAATAGTTGGGGGAGCAGCATGTGTTGTCCTCCTAATTTTTTATTTCCTTTGAAGACAAAAAAAGGTTAAGGAAATGAGAAGTAAAGACAAGAAAATTCCATGATGATTTTAATTTTTTCTTTAATTACAAACTAGCATTCCATTCGTCAATAAATTCTTGAACTATTTTCGAGACTTGCTGGCCACTGCTGCTCGAACTTAAACAATTATTCATTTTGCGGACAAAATTACTAACAATTTCACTTCTTTTGTTATTTTTCTTAACCAAATTGTTATAATCATCGGTGCTAACTCCACCACCACCCGAAGAACTAGCCACTGGACGACTAGCCAATTGACTAATCTGGCTTTGTAGATTATTTATCTGGGAACTAAATTGACTAGTTATTTGTTGACTGGATAGTTGAATTGAGTTTTTCACATTATCTTGTAAGCGAGTAAATTCATGACGAAAGTTTTCAATATCTTTATCTAAGGCATTTAGATTATTGCGAAAGTTATCTATTTCTTGTCGAAGGTTAGAAATTTCTTGGAAGTTAGCGACCATTTCTCCTCTTATTTCACTTAATTTTCCAGTAATGCCTTGTCCTAAATTAATAATCGCTTTACTAATTAAACTAGCAATTGCGGCAGTATTTTCTTCCATTCTGGCCGCTACACCAAAATCATAACGCTGAATTTGTTCGGCACTAGTAAAAGCATTTAAATTTTGCTTGGAATTGTATTGGTGAAAAGTAAATAAATAGTGTAATAGTCAATTACAAATTTCTTTATCATTTTCGTCTTTAAAAGTTCCTAATTCTGCTTCTTTTTTCTTGCGTTTGTTTTCTTCTAAGTTTTGCCAAGATCGGATAATTTTATTAACGTGAGGGGCAAATCTTTCTTTGAACATGGCAAAACCAAATTTAGTGGTCATTTTATACAATTCTTCCCGATAACGGCTGTTAGTAAAATCCCAAGCAGGATCGTTGGGTCAATCAATGTGAACCCAATCGCGACCATCTGAGCCACCCGCTTCTCCATACTCTTTTAATAATTCAGGAGTTCAGGAGAAATTAAGTTTTTTTCCTAATCGGCCTCTTCTGACCAAAGCAGAATCTAAATTTTCATAATTATTAGTAGCAATTATAATGACAGAATTGGGGTCTTGAACGTTGTTTTTTAGCCCCACTGCATCTTCAGTGGTTGATAAAAAATTCTTTCAATCTTCCAACAAGTTATTTTTTTTGCCTCCGCCACCTGCTGTCATAACATTTGTACCTTGGTCAGCTTCTTCCACGAAAACTATATAAGGTTTATCACTATAAGCATCACCAAATGCCTCTTTTTTTAATTCTTTTATAATAGCAATTAACTTTTCATGACTTTCTAAGCCTTTATCATTGATTGCTTTACCTGCAGTTTGCAAATGAAAACCATCAATTTGAAAAACAGGTACTAATTTACTTTCCTCTTGGACTAATTGTTGTTCGCAATCTTGAATAAGATTTTTTAGTTCTTCAATTTCGGTTTTTAATTGTTCGCTTTCAGGATCATTAATTAACTGCTCTTGCTTTTTAGTTAAATCTTCATTATATTCATTTAGTTTTTTTTCGTTCTCTGATTGATGCTTGGCCGCAATTTCAAAAACTAATTGGCGAGGAAATTCAGTCTTTCCTGTGCCAGCCATTCCATAAAGAATAGTATTGCGCCGTGCGAAATTGCTGCTATTGTCGTCTTGATATTCATCCTTATGGGTGTAGACTTGTCCAGTATTAACTAAGTCATCAATGTCTTCTAAAATAGCAGTAAAATGCTTTTTAATTTCATCAGTATAAACCAGTTCTCCTTTACCTTGAGTATTTAGACCTTTAATTCCTAAGGGGGGTTTCATTTTGGTAATGTCTAAAATTTTTCCTTTATCTCTTCAATTAGGACCTGATAAACGATCAAGCTCTGCTTCTTGAAGTTTTCTTTCTCGCTCGTCTTTTTCCTGCTGTTTTCTTTTTCTTTCTTCTACTTCGGCTCCGTGTTCGATTTCTAGTCTTTCTTGATTGGTTTTGCTGTTTTTTCAGAGAAAAAAAGCCTGTATCCCTAATATAGTTAAACCAATTATTACAGCTAAGGCAATTAGTCAGCCGATTATTCTTTTGAAAAAGTTTGTCATAATTTCTGAAAGTAAAAAATATTAATATTAATAAAAAGTGATTAAGTCTCTCAAAGGAAAATGAGCCAAAAAGATTTGAACCCGTCAACCTACTAAAAAAATGCTGGCTATTTATGAAATAGCGTGGGAAAGTTTAAGTTTGTTGGATTCTATTACCGAATTAAAACAATTAGAGAAAATTCCCGGTTTGAACCTGCATGATTTATTAGGTGATCGTTCAGGTCAAAAATCTTTTTGAGTAGGTAATACTAAATACCGAGTCTGCTTTTACTGAAAAGACAGTAATGCTTATGAAGTAGAAATTGTTGATTATCATTAAAAACTAATTAAATAATAATTATTATGACTAACTCAACTAAATTACCACCTGTTCATCCAGGAAAAACTTTACAAAGGCAATTTTTTCAACCTTTAAACTTATCGCAGGAGCAATTAGCCCAAGGTTTGCACATTCCTACTTACCAACTCCAAGATTTAGTAGAAGGTAAGGAAAAAATAACCCCTGAAATTGCCTATCGTTTATCTTGCTATTTCCAAATTGAACCAGAAGTATTTTTAAACTTACAACAGCGCTATGATTTAGAGGTTTGGAAAGATAGACAAGAAACTTATATTAGAAGACAAGTTAAACCTCATCAAGAAAGATTATCAGCCAACAAACAGTAATTTTTTGTTCGGGGAGAAAATTATTAAAAACTCCCATTAATTTTCAACTACCCGACCTTGGTATTTGATTCAACTTTTAACTAAACAATTCTCGCCACAAAAATTATATTCATTTTCTTTTGTTCCTTGTTGTAAACAAGTTAAGCAAGTAGGTTTTTTACAGGAGTAATAATCGGACCATAATTTTTTAACTTGTTTGGCGTTTAGTTCTGCTCGTAATTCCTCAATTATTCGCTCTTTGTCAGTAAATTGATGATTGCTTTGTTCTAATTGATAAAGAGCATTAAGTGAACAAGAGGAGCAATATTCTTTTGAGCGGTCATTCCTTTGAGCAATTAATTTAATTTCCTTATTGATTTGACATTTGGAGCAAATTCCTGGAATGCTAGTAATGGTTAATTTAATTGCTTGCTGATTGATTAGTAAAACTCTTTCTGAATTTGTGGGAAAGTAATTATTTATTAAATTCATGTCTTTTATTTCTTAAATTTCCTTTTGACAAATCATCAAATTAGTCATAGTCCTAATAATCCGCCAATAATTAGCACAGCATTTTTACCAGTCTCTTTGTCAATAAATCCCAAATATTTTTCAGACTTGGTTTCTTCCGCCTCTGATTTGTCCTTTTTCTTCCAATTAAAAAAAGAAGTGTTAGGACTGCCGTGGAAGATATTCTTTACAATATTGGCTAGTTCATCATTTTTTTCTTGACTATATAAAGAATAAACCGGATCTTTTTTTAATTCGGCTTGTAAAGATTTAATTTCATTATTCTTTTGGGATAAAAGAGCAAATAACTGAGCCTTTTTAATGGGATCAGTTTCTTCTTTTCATTCTTTCGTCAATTGAGTGGCTTCGCTATTTAATTTATCTAACTTTTTTAATTTTTCTTGAAAAGCTGCTAATTGTTGCCAAGTAGAATTTTCAATTTGGGTCATATAATACCCCAACTCTTTGGCTAATCTTTTAAAAGTTTCTTTAATGCGAGTAGCAAAAATACTTTTATCACCATCCAAACCAATACAGGAACCATAAAAAAAACCTGCTCCACTTTCGTCCTCGCACTTTTCTTTTAAAGTTTTGAAAGAGTTCAGTAAGGTTTTCTTGGAATTATTAAATTCTGACTCATTTTTGCTTTTGCTTAGTTTCACTTGCTGTTTAACTAATGTGTCAAAAGCCCGAAAGTTTTGATTAATTTGTCGCAAGTCATCGGCCATTTTATGCCGGCCACCATAATTACATTCGCCACCAACAAAATAATTTCCTTTGCATCAGTCGCAATTTGGGTGTCCTTCTTTGGCGATGCCATTTTCTACTTCTTTGCCTTTGCACTTAGGATTTTTGACTATTAAACAAAAGTCGCGGGGAGTTATTTCGTATGCCATAGTTATTTATCACCTCAAATAGCGGTCTTGACTTTACCTCAAATTCACATAAAACCCTTATACACAAAATAAGTTGAGACTAAAGAAAAAATTAATATTCCCCACAATCAGGGAGATTTAAAATTCATGTCTAAATATCAAGGTTTATCTTGCTCGACTGATTGAAAATATTGTTCGATTAATTTGGCTTGCTTTTTGGCTTCCTCTTCACTTTTTTTCAAGGCTAGCCTTGTGGCCTGCTGGTTTTTATCATTATCTTTCATCATTGCGGTAATTTTGGCAACTTGCGCCGGGTCATTATTTTCTTTGGCTTTTCTCAAATCCTCGGCCAATTGAATATTCCTTTTCTCTTGCTTGTCTAGTTTATCTTTTAAGGCTTTGTTGATGACTTCCTGCTCTGCTGAATTCTCGCTTTTTAATTGCTGCAATAACTCCGCTTTTTCCTCCTTGCTCATCTTTTTTATCTCTTCCAATTTTTCTTTTTTCTCGCGCGGGGTCATTTGCTTGTCGCCTAACTGCTCTTTAATTTTATCAGCAATTTCTTTATCTAAATTATCCAAGCGGTCCGTGATAGGTTTTAAAATTTCTTGCTGCTGAACTTGGGTATTAGTAGGCGGATTGCTGCTATTTTTGGGGATGCTAGAATCAATAACTTTATCAACGACCTTTTTCGTGGCATAAGTAGCCGCGACTCCAATTAAAAATGGTATAAAAAATGGCATAATATTATTCGATTCCTTGAGTTAATTTCTTAAATAAACTAAAAATAAACTTCACAATTAGTATAGCAACAATCACACAAATGGCAATAATACCTCAGTTCTTTCAGGCTCCCAAGTCAGGAGCATTAGATTTAGCGACCAATTGTTCCTCAGTTAAATTAGGGAACTTGCTAATATCATCAAAAACTTTCTCCAACTCTTTATTATTCTTTTCAATCTGCTTCTCTTTGTTGGAAATTTCTCTTTTAATTTGGCTGATTTCTTTTTCGGTATCTTGCAGAGCAGCGATTTTTTTGGTTTTTTCGGTGGGATCACTTTCTTCTGCTGCTTCTTTCGCTTGCTGAGTTTTTTGTTTTTCCAACTTTTCTAACTTCTTCTTCAGTTCAGCCAATTCATCTAATAACTGTTTATTGTGCTCTTCATTGCGTTCTTGAAGATACTTCTTTTTATCTTCCCGAAATTTCTTATAATCTTCATACAGCCGGTCACGAGGAATGCCTAATTGTTCAGCACGATTGGCTGGAGTAGAACCCCATCTCTCAATTATCGGCTTCGCTGCAAAATAAGTCAGTCCTGCCCCGATCACAAATTTTAATAATCCTGCGATAGCAGGCTTTGCTAATAATGCTAAAAATGCCATAATTTTACTTTTCTTCGCCCATTTTTACTATTCCAAAAAACTTCCCAAATAATCAAGCACTAACAAAAAATACTCCTATTCCAATGCCACCAGCCATCACATAATCCCACGTTCCATAAACTTTCTTCCCAAGATCTTCGGCTTTTTGAATATCCTGAGTCAAGGCCTGAATTTCTTGTAAAGCAGGAAGATTAGACAGGGCTCTGCTTTCTTCTTCAGTTAATTCGTCCGTTTTTTTCTTTTCTAACTCTTTCGCCTTTTTTATTTCTTCTCCCAATTTGGTTTTTGATTCCTTAATTTGGCTAGGAGTTAGTGTTTCCAAATCATTAAGATCTAGTTCTTTTTCTAATTCCACATTTTCCATGGTTTGCTGCAATTTATCTTTCTTACTAGGACATTTTCATTGTAAGAAAAAATAACTAGTTACTAAGGCTAGTATTAGAGAGATTAATAAAATAAGTGCTGACATATCTATTGTTCACTAAAACCGATTTGTCGGAAGATGCTGCCCAAAACACCCACGCAGAATTTGTAGACTATGTATAATACTACTATAAATCCTCCTAATCATAGTCCATTAGTCCAACTGAGTTTATTAGGAAGTTGGGCTTTCCAACCGCCTTTTTCTACTACTTTCAAATCAGATAAGTTAGTTTCTATTTCTTGTAATTCTTTTACTTTTTCTTCCTTGGCTTCTAATTTCTCTTTAGCCTTATCGGCTTTGTCAGCATCTGAACCAGCAAGGATATCTTTTCTTTCTCTTTCTAATTGTTTAATTTCCTCTTTGACTTCTTTTTGTTTGGTTTCACCCTCTTTGACAGCAGCTTTGATTTCATCTTTTTCTAAACCTTTGACATTGGGGTTATTGGCCGGGCAGTCTACCTTTCCCGCAATAAATTTCTTGTAAATGAAATATCCCGCCACAGCGGTTAGTAATAATGGTATTAAATTTAAGATCATAATTATTTGTCTACTTTACTCCAAGTCGGAGTTTTTTCGTTTTTATTCATATATATTTATATTTTAACTATTTATTAATTAACTATCATTTAACTAACTAATTAAGTAAAATATATTATATAACCAAATTCAACATGAATAATAAAGAAAAAGAAACCAAACCCTTCTGCTGCCACCTCAACACCATTTTACAAGAGACTTACTACGAACAAATCCACGGCAAAAAAGGCTACTCCTTGGGCTACTACACCACTTACTATTATTTACTCAAAGAATACAAAAAACAAGGACAATTATGTCCTAATTGCCAAGACTGGGCTAGTAAATTATTTAGTCTTTATTTAGAATTAAGAAATAAGTATCAAGCATAACTATGACCTGACAACAATTTAAACAATATTTAAAAAAAAATATTCTGCAAGAAGAGGAAGAAACTTACACTCTCCAACCAGAAGCCAAAACCAAATACTCGATTAGTCAAGAAGAAGAATTAATTGCCGTTCTGACTAATCTAATGGCCAGCATTGACAATCTTCCTTATTACTCCTCTTCTAATTCTTATTCTTATTTAGATGAACAAAACGAAGATTATCACTCCTTGCCCAAATTAACTGACTTAATCAATGAACAAGGTCAATTAATGACCTGAAAAGAATTATTCCCTGACCGGGAAAAAATTCAGTTTGGTAAAAAAACGGATGATCCAGCCAAAATAAGTATTACTACTTATAACGCCTTGGTCAAAATATTTAATGACTGAGTCCAGCAAGTCACTCGTCCCGAAAGATTAAAAGCCTTAGTTAGTGAAGACAACATCATGATGAAATTTCTCTTAGAAGCCGCCATTAGTTTAAATTATGACCTAATCAAAAGAAAAGGTTATGACAAACAATTAAGAGAGTGAATCAAAGAATATAATCAATTAGGAGAAGAAAGCAAAGAAGACTTATCTAAACAAAAAGAACTAGTGGATAAATTACTAACGGCTTTTGATGAGGAAACTACCAATCGCAAAGAAATCAAAGAACAAAGTAGTTGATACCACAATGTTCCTTGAACTAGTGTAATTTACTGAGGATGTGGAATATTACTGATTATTTTAGTAGTGGGTTGATTAAGAAGCAAAATAAAAAAGTAAATGAACAAAAGCAAGATAATCAGCTGGTGTAAAAAATGCCGACAATGTTGTGAGTATATTGCCTCTCCTTATTATGGGTATAATTAATGGGAGTTTGCTAATCTCCCTTAAAAAATTAGTGATTACTAGGCCCTTTGAAAAAAGCACGAACACTAAGATCCTCATCCAATTCAGGCCAGTGAATACCATACTTATCCGAAGTAATACGAAAGTTCTTTAATTGTTTTAAAGTAGCCTGGCGAGTACGTGGATATCAAGCAGTAGGAATACTTACTTTGCGACCATCTTCCAAAAAGGCCGTAATTTCCTCTTTAGTGCATTCTACTCCGACTATTAAAGGATAAGTTTCCACTTTCTCAGCAGGATACATTATCGGTTGATTATTTTTTACCAATTTTTCCTGTTTTCTTAAATTCATATCAATTATTTAAAAATGTTTTTCTGTACTCAGCAATTATTCGGTAATCCTCGGTTTGCTTATGCCGAGGCATACCCGCTTTGATTCAAGCTGTTTCGAGTTCAGGTTCGGCTAATCAGACTTTCATGGTTCCGCCTTCTTTATATTCGACGTGAACATGAGGAGGCTCATCTAGATCGGAGGAGTAAAACTTGAACACTAAACCGGCTTCTTCATAAATCTTAGGCATCTTTAATAATATTTTAACTTTTTATGACCAAATACAATTTAGAAGATTTTAAGAATTGACTAAATGCGGATAAAAAACGAGAAGAAGGAGAATATTGACCCACCATGTTTGAACAAATAGAAGACCCCAATAATGTTGGAGGATTAGATGCTTTTTTAGAAAGAACAAATGACTACTATTGATTTTCTTATCCTACTTATGACAAATGTCACCAAATAATGCAAAAGTGAAAACAAGAAGTAGACCAAGAGAGAGAGAGAGAGAGAGAGAGAGCAAAATAATATGGTAACAACACAAGAATGACTAGATAAAACTTATCAAAATAAGGAAGGGGTTCGGTCTTTAAAACTCACTACATCACTTGAAGTCAAATGCACCGGAAGTGATTTAATAATTACTGACTTCCCTAATTTAAAAAAAATAATAATTTATGGATGCCACACTGACTGTTGTTGTATTTCGAAGTGTAAAATAAGAAATTGCCCACAATTAGAAAGAATTACCATTTCGTATTGCCGAACAAAAGAATTTATTACCGATGATTTACCTAATCTAACTTATCTTTATCTTAACGACAACGAATTATCTTCCTTAGATGTCAGCAAATTCCCTAAATTATTTTATTTGTCGTGCGAAAGAAACGATATTTTACAACCTCCTCTCCAAACCCTCATCCAAAAAATCCAAACTAAAGAAAGAGAATTAGCCGCTTTACAAATCAGAGATAAGGACGTCAAAATCACTGATTTAGAAGCCGAACTCCAATCTTGAAAAGAACTTAAAGAAAGATTAGAAACTCAAGCCCAACAAAAAGAAGAGGAATTAACCACGGAATTAAACCAAATCAAACAACAAAAAGCAGAATTAGAAACTAAACTAACTGAATCAGAAAATACTCTGGCTAATTTGCAACAGCAATTAGACCAAATTAAAAATGAACTATCTAAAAAAGAACAGCAAAGACAAAACTTAGAACAAAAACTAACTACTGAACAAACTAAATCTACTGACTTAGAAAACCAACTGACTGCTCTAGCAGTCTCAAGTGGTCTCCTTACCCAACAAGTAGAAAATTTAACTCAGCAACTCAGCGAAAGTGAACAAAAAGAAAAAACTACGCAACTAGAAGCGGAAGTAAGAGGGAATTTAATTCGTGAACAAGGCGATAAACTAAATCAACAACAAACCCAGATTACTAATTACCAACAATTATTAAGAAACAGTGAAGAAAACTTAAAAAAGTGTCAAGACCTTATTGCTCAAAAAACAGAGCAATTATCTCAGTTAGAGCAAGAAAAAAACGACCTTCAACTAGAACTAGACCAGGCCCAAGCAAAAATAAAGCAATTAGAAACTAATTTACTTACTTCTCAAACTAAAATTCAGCAATTAGAAGCCAAAATTAAGGAACTAGAAAGCAAAGGAAATTCTTCTGAATTAACCAGACTAAAAAAAGAACTAGCGGAAGAAAAGAAAAAGAACCAAACTGAGAAAACTAAATCCCAATCAGAAATCAATCGCCTAAAACAAGAACTAAATCAAACTAAACTTAAAGAAGAACAATTAAGTCAAAAAATAAAAGAGTTAAGTAAAAAATCAGTCCAAGTTAAAGAAACTACCGAGACTTCTTTTTGGAAAACGATTAAAACCCCTCTTTTTTACACCTTAGGAATTATTTTAGTAATCGCAGTAGTAGGCTGACTATATAACCAAACCCAAGAATAAAATATGACTAGCAAAGAAATCCTCCAAGAATTAGCCGCTTTTTTCCACAAGACTGACAAAATCAAAAAAGATTATCGTTCTTTTATCGGCAATACCAAAAGACTCATGGAATCTCCCCTTCCGCAAGAACTAAGTCCTAATGAGAAAGAAACTTTAACCAAAACCGAGGAATTTCTTACTAACTGATCCGATGATTATCCAGCTGTCTTTTTAAAAAAAACCGATCTCACTAATTTACAAGCCAAGTTCCAAAAATGGAGGCAGAAAGTCCAAACCTCACTTCCTAATAAAAAACCTACTCCAACTCCAAAAATTGACTGGAATAATTTAAGTGACAAAGCCGAGAAACTAGAAGAAGGAACCAAGTGGATTGACTGATACGGCAATAACAAAACTTGACTAAAAGGATTAGGAATAATCCTGATTTTACTGTTAGCCTGATTAGTAATCCGAGCTATTAAAGAGGAAATTACGAAATAATTATGTTAGGAACTTTGTTTTTACTCTTAATCATGACTTTGTTGTTGTTCGCTGCTATTTTCTTTTTTACTCCTCAATCAGCAGTAGAAAATAAAAAACAAACCGAAGAGACTACTAGTTGAGAAGAACAAAAGGAACAATCAAAAAAAGAATCAGCATCAGAAAAAAACAAAGAATGATTTAGTCCTCAAAGATGACTAACTGATAAAGAAATAGGCTGAGCCACGGATAAATTAGCAAAGAATGAGCAATTTAAAACCCTCCCTGCTCACCAATTCCATTACGTGAAAGAAATTAATTATTCTTGATTTTCTAAGCAAGATAATTACATTCAAGAGAGTTTTTCTAAACTCTCACAAACCAATGGTAAAGTCGAAGCTAAAGCTCACTTAGCCTTTACTGAATTGCTGAATGAGATAAACGACAATAGTAAAGAGTTAGTCTTTATCCCAGTCAATAACCCGGACTTCCATTGAAGTTTATTGGTTTATGAAACTAAATGTTTTTACCATTTTGACACTTTACAAGGGGCTAATTGGGATTATGCTCAGCCCTTATGTGAAGAAATTTTATCTTTTTTATTAGCAAATTGACAAAGTCCTAGTTATCATTTGAAAACTAGACATGACTTTAAACAAGGGAATGGATGAGATTGTGGAGTAGCAGTAATTTCCTTAATTAAGAGAATAAGAGAGAAATATCAAAATGATATGGAAAACATTGAATTAGGAAATTTTGACTTTAAGAAAGAGAGGGAAAAATTAAGAACTGAATATTTACAAGAAAATGGAGCAAATTAACAAAAAAAAAAAAAAAAAACAAGTATTTAATAAATAGTAAACAAAGTGGCGAGGCCTTGGAATTATTGACTAGTTTAGAGAAAAATAGTGTGGATTTAGTTTTTTGCGATCCGCAGTATGAAAAAGTTAATAATGTTTTGCACACTAATTATCCCTTATATCCTCAATCTAATTACCAAATTATGCGGATAATTGAGCAAGTGGGGAGAATATTAAAGCCCTCGTCCTTTTGCTTACTCTGAATTAATAAAGGCTTGTTAGGTAGTGATCGGATTGCCGCCTGGATGATTAAGGCTCCTAGTTTGAAAATAGTGGATTGTTTAGTGTGGTATAAGAAAAATACTCTTGGATTAGGAACTTGGCTCCGTTCAAATGCTGAATTCTGTTTTTTACTCCAAAAATATCCCACTACTGGCAAAAAGTTTACTAACCGGAGTTTTGGAACTGTATGAGAAGAAAATAGTTTACCAACTAGTCAAAGGAAGCATCCGCATCAGAAGCCAAAGGAGTTGATCAGAACCTTAATTTTGGCTACCACTCAGGAAGGGGATTTAGTAGTTGATCCTTGTGCGGGTTCTTTTATCGTGCTGGATGTTTGTCAAGAATTAAAAAGGAATTATTTAGGGTGTGATTTGACTTGTGAAGAGATAGGGGAGTTTATGGGGAAGAAGTAGATTATCTAATAAGTTCTAAAATTTATTAGATAAAGGAGGCAGGAGTTCCTTTTTTTATTTAGGTGGGATTTGAACCTGAGACTTTTGTTCGCTTTGTGTACTAAGATGCAACTCCCTTAGTTCCCGACTAATCTGACAAAGGTTATTTATTTCTTCTTTAGTTAATTTCTTACTCAAATTTTTCTTTATATTTTCTATCTTTTTAACTAATTCCTTAGAGGTAGCAGGAAGAACTTCAAAAGTCTTTTTTAATTTTTCATTTCTCTTTTTGCGTTTAAAATTAAACCTGCTATCACTTTTTAATTTTTCTTTGGCAGAATCAACTAGTTTTTCCAAAGCGAGACTTTTACTCATAATCTGTTCTTGTAAATTATCTTGTTTTTGACGATTCAGACCTTTATTACTGGAAGTAGAAGTATCAGTTGTAGTTAACGACTCTTGATTATCCCCTTCATTATTGGTCACCTTGTAGTTCCTTCTAGGAGGAGTTCCTAATTGAATCGAAAGCGAATATTGGTGAGTATTTAGCAAATCACCTTGTTTATCTTCATAGGACTGCTCTTTTATTCCACTATTTAGAGGTTTAGGAAGATTTTCAACGCTTGATGATTCGTCCTCTCTGGTTATTTTGCCAAGTATATCTGATAATGCTATTCTCTTACTAGGATCATTTTCTCAGCATCGCTGAATAATATCTTGAATATTCTTAGGAGTATTAGTTGGTATGGTCTCTTGGGTGCCTCATCTAATACGGACTATTACCATTCCATTGTCATCATTTTTAAAAGGGGTGGTGCATTTGGCCGCTATTTCTCAAATAACCATGCCTAAAGCGTAAATATCAGATTGCTCAGAGTATTTTAGATTGCTAGTATCTTCTAGTAATTCTGGAGCCATTCATCTGAGAGTACCTACTTTTCCAGAATGCTTTGAGTGCGAAGAACTGATATTTTTGGTTTTAGATAAACCAAAGTCTGATATTTTTACATTATAATCTTTGGTTAGTAAGATATTCATACTTTTTAAATCCCGATGGATAATGCCTTGGTGATGAATATAGGCTAGTCCAAGCGTCATTTGTTGAATAAATTTATTGTTAAGATCTCAATTATGTTTCTTGTCCTTGTTATCATCGATAAACTTAGTTAAAGTGCCATTTTCGGCATAGTCCATGATAATGAGGAGTTCTTGATCATTAGAATAAGTGTCATAATATTGTATGATGTGTTTATTTCTTAGGTTTTTAAGTATGTCTATTTCTCTTTTTATATCCTTAAGGTCAGGTTCAGAAGTGCTGTGGGGTGATAAATAAAGTTTTTTAACAGCTACTTCTTGGAGATCTCATTTTCCGTAATAGACTTCACCGTAACCCCCTCTACCTATAAGGCGATTTAGAGTTAGTTCGGAATTAGTGGATTCTATTTGATTTGATTTCGATTTTTCTTTCGTTTCTTTGCTTGCACCCCGTCGCGGTTTAAACTCTTTTATTTTAAGACCTGACGTGCCTACCATGCTCTGAAAGATGCTACTACTTGTTGTACTCGATGAAGAATAATCGTGAGGATCAAAATGTTCCATCTCAACATCTTTTATATCAACCATTGATTGATAAATATTTCTTTCTTGTCTCCTATTTATTCGAATTTCTCGTTTTCTTTTTTCATGATCAATCAATTCGTCTAATGCTAAATCCGCTCCATTATCTCTAAGGGCTTGAACAGCTTTTTGTAAATTGCTATTAGGTTGTGGATTTTGAATATCCTTTAATCTTTCGTCAGTTAGCAAATTTGAGTAAATTTCCCCCGGCATTCTTTCATCTTCAACATCATTGATTTTTTCAATTAGCGACCCAGCTTCTTGAACAGCCTTCCACTCATTTTTTGAAGAAAGGTCTTGTAATATTTTGTTTTTTTGTTCGTTAGTTATTTTAGTCATAAAGCTTTGTTAATAATTTGATTGTTAATTCCTTTATAGTTTATCAGTAACATGAAGTGTCCGGCAGGCGATATTATTTTCTGCACCAACTTCTTCTGAATGGTTATCGCTAGAGTTATTTTGAGGGGAAAATTTACCTACACTATTTCCTTTTGCATCTACCATACTTTCTCTAATATTTTCATAACTGGTATCTCCGCGAGTATTATTTTTTATTTTACCACACAAATTACATAATGTTATATTGATAATTTTTTTGTTGATTATTTTGTCAATTTCTTTAACTTTCTTGTTGATTATTTTGTCAATGCCTTGATTGTTAATATTATTTTTTTCTTCATCTTCACCAATAAATTTATTTTTTATCAATTCTTGCCTTTTTTCCTCCGGTGATTTATTTTCATCATTTTGTAAATTTAATAACCGCTTTTTTTTTTCATTAAGCTCATTAATAACTTTATTAATTTGATGATTTCGATAGATAAAGTAAATCGCTCCCAAAATGAAAACAATCCCCACAATAGCTAAAATAATTACTGCAACAATAGGAACAGGATTTGGTTTGGGAATAGTGGAAGAAGCTAATTCAGACAAAGGAGGAGATGCAGGTCATTGTAGCAAACAAGTTGATTCATTATTAGCGTTGAAATTTCCAAAACATATTCAACCACCACTATCTCAATTACATACTAAACCATATGAGATATATTTACAGGAAGTATTATTACTATCTTTTTTACAATTTCAAACAGCACAATCATTAGAACATTTATCGATTTGATTATTAGAAACAGAATTATTTACTTCATTCCTCACCTCATCAATATTAAAGTATGTGCAGTTTCCTACGGTATTATTTTTTTCGCTAGTAATTTGTGCATCGCCAACAAATCCCCCGCAATATCCATCATGGCAAAATGTTCCTTGTTCAAAAAATTTTTTGCAATGATAAATTCAATTAAATCTCGGAATATCGTTACCGTTACATGAATTATCTCAAGTTCTGCATCCATCTCTAGTGCAATAAAGGTCTGTTCATTCATTTGCATTATTACCATTGCTGAAATATTTGGACAAATTATCATAAAAGATATCATCACCAGATTTAGAATGATCAATACATCCCCTAAAACTTTCTCCCGCTTTCGCTCTTTTCACACCAGCCAAAGTCAGTAAAAACAAACTCATCATCTTAGATTTAGTCCAATTAGTAGGTAAATTTAATTTCATATATTTGTTGTTAATTTTTACAATCGCTACTTTGCCTTTAAGAACTATAGCAAACCAAGTAGCAATTGATTTTTTTAAAAATTATTCTAATTTGCTATTTTCTTATTTTTTGGTCATAGGCAATTTAAGTTTTGTTGCTATATTCAGAAATATTTAGTTCCTTAAGATTGATAGGAATTATTGATTGTTGTAAACTATATTTATAATTTTAATGATAATTTTTAAAACCAAGGTGTTAATTTTTTCTAAATATACCCCTGTCCAGGTCTCAAATATTTCAAACTCTTTAATCAATACGAATTATAAGTATCCAAATACTTCTTCCCCACAAAAATAATAAATCCTTGCTCGGTTTTAGAGTTGGTTCACGCCGCTGCTTCTCAAATCACACACTGGACATATATTCCCTCATCTGTTTTTTGTAATAAAGAGACTTGACAAATAGCCGTAGTTACTTCTCTCTGTTCAATACTAACTTGTCCTAATCTTTGGGCGTTGACAAATAATCTGGTGCCTTGATGTCTACTTAAAGCAATAAAATGCATTAAAAATCTTTGTCTTTCCCGGACATCTTGGACAATATTTCCCTTAAAAAGCAGGTTGATCTCATCTAAAAAGATGGTTTCAGTAACACCCAATCTTTGGCTGGGACAATGGGAGAAGTCTATTTGACTTTTTTCGGCTCACGGCAGATTACAAGGAAAAGTAGCATATTTATTCTCCTCACCTGGTAATTCATGGGCTAACATGGCTAAGATAGCGGTTTTACCACTACCAATTGAGCCAAAAAAGACTAGACCATTAGACTTAGCACAGTAATCTAAGAATTCGGGAGTATTATCAATTATTAGTTGTCCTTTATTGCGAAAGAGGACTAATAAAAGACCACCTACTAGAACTCCTAAACTAGCTCAAATAATAGTTCCAAGCAGGAATTTGAGTTTATCTAATAAGTTAGCCAAAAAACCAGCAGGTTGGGGACGATAAAAGACAAAAAGAAATAAAAGTGGGATAATTAGTAAGAATTTGTAAGTTTGGAAGATTTCTTGCCAATTTATCTTACTTTTTCTTTTTTTTGATTGCTCTTTTATTAATTGGTTTGGTGTCTTCATTTTCTAAATTAGGTTCTTGATTTTTCTGATCCAAATCTATTTCTAGTTCTTCAGTTGACAGTTTGACTTCTTTGCCTTTTCTCTTCCGCTTTTCCTCCTTGTCCCATTTGGTTAAGTCTTCCGTAGTTATTTTTTTATCACTTAATCCATATTTTTTTAAATTAGTCTTAATATCCTTAATGCGGGCTGATTTCTTGCGAACTATTTTCTCTTCCTTTTTTCTTGCTTCTAAATATTGCAGTAAAAGATTGCGGTTAAATTTTATTTTTTTGATTCATTCTTCCTCATTAGTTTCCATACCACTTTCTTCAATCACTCGCAAAATTTCTCCGGCCTCCTCCGCTTTTAACTTTTCTTCAAAGATATATTTCAGCCAGTTGGCTTGGTAATCCTTAGGGATATTTCAATGCGGGTCGTAAAAAGATTGGATTTCCTTATTGTCAATGGGGATAATAGTAGGAAGGATATTGTATCAACTGTCATTAGCCTGGACGAAGAGGAGAGATTTATCCATAAAGGAGATGTAAGTTAAGACTTTTCAGGTCTTATTTTTGTTAGTTTGGAAGACTGAATTAGTGATGCTGCCGTTATTAGTTCAAATAAAAGTGCCGCCTAATTTTCCCGTGTGTGAAATGTAGTCTTGAAGTGCTGAATAACCATTTTCGCCAAATTCTTGGTGGCTTCATTTTTGGAAGGTGTCTAAGTCATCGAGGAAGTAATAGAACTTGTGAGGGGCACCTCATTTGCCACTGATATGAATTTCCAAAGTTTCTTTACTGAGCGTGTAAGTAGATTGAGGAGTGGGAAAATTAGTAAATTTAACTCCCTGTAAATGTTTGAATAAATGGGACAAAAATCAGGATTTGCCTTTGCCAGATGGTCCGGTTATTTCAATAAAGCGATGTTTTGATAAAAGGTCAAAGACTTGTTCTTTTTTACGCAGTCTTAATATTTTTCAGACTAGTCAGGCTCAGAATTTTCAGAGGGCGATGCAGAGGACAAAGATGCAGAAGATGAGGGCGAATCAGGTGTTACGGGTCATGATTGTTTGGTTTTTTTATTTCTTTTTTTGGTGATATTTGGTGCGGATGCTAAGTGGTTTTTTGAATCTCATTTAGCAATTTTTTTACTTATTTTCTGGAAGTTTTAAAAGTCAGTTGTATAAATACTGATAATCAACGGGAGTTAAAAAACTCAATCTTGCCTTAAAATTACCCGCCTGAGTAGTCCCTTCAATCCCTCTCTTAACTAACAATTGGTCCAATTCCTGAATAAAATTAGTTTGTTTTTCTTTATTATCACTAATCTTATGCCGAAAAAGTTTAATCAATTCATCGACTTGTTTGATGCTAACTGTATTAGTTTGACTTTGTAATTCAGTAAGGGACTTCTCCATCTCTTGGGAAGAAGATTTCTCCTCTTTTTCTTCTCTTTGCCGATAGTCTGGATCCCCCTCATCTTTCACCGGCATTAAAAAAAACTTGCTCAACATATACTTAATCGCATAAGTTTCACTGGAACC